GGAACTCTGTGCTTGTCTAGTATGACAGTCTTGATGTGTTCTTTTTCGAAGATGCTGGAACTCGGTGCTTGCATGGAGGAGACGAAAGCCAAATCCATCGACCTAGTGGAAAGTACAGATGCCGACTTCTCTGATATATCATTCGAAGAGTTTCTGGCAAAGGAAAAGAAGGATTCATTTTGGTTTGCTCTCGACTGAGACTACAATTATGCAACTTTTTCTTATCGATCGCTTGCAGATAATAAGAATAATTTTCATGTGCAGGCAGAGAAATGGGAGATATAAACCGTGCTCCGGATGATAGGCTGTTAGCTAGCAATTTTGACTAATTGTATGGAAGTGAGTACATTCAAGCGCGCAAAATCGTGTATTGGTGCAAAATTTTATAGCTTCATGGCTTAGTATTGATTTTGAAGGAATCGCGGCGACCCTTAATCTTTTTAATTACCTGATAACTTCTCAGGTCGAAAGCTAATGAATCTTTCACGGGTCAAAGATGTATGTTGTGTCTGATTTTTTTGCCATATTCTAGTCTTTGTTGCTATTATGTTCTGTAATTTTTATTTATATTTTCAAAATTTTCTTGCATTTGGGGAGTTCATATAATTGCATATCACGAAACATCTGTATGGTGACTGGATATGGTTCTTGGTAATGAAAAGGGCAAATTAGGCTCAATACCTAAAGAATTAATTTATTTGTTTAATAGCCTAGTAACTAATAAAATGATTTAACAAAGTATTTAATACGTTCCAAAACTATCGAACCCCTCGACACCTACCCCCCCCCCCCCCCCCCCCCGAAATAATTTAATCTGAATTTGATAGTACCCCCACTCCTCGAAAACTATCGGTCCCAATTTCCAAAAAGCTCCCAGAGGAAACCCTCTCGCCCAATTAATGTCACCGTTTTGCTAACATTCGAATCGAAATTTGAACATGAAGAATTTCAGACTTCGTCGTTTGAGGTTTTGGAGGAAAAAGAGTTGTTAATCCGTGATGGTGAAGAATTAGGTTATAAAAGGTCAATTGTTGGTGATCATGGTGGTTGTGATGATGACTCGTAGGATGCGGAGAGTACCGAGTCGGATGAGAAATTTAGTGCGACAACGGCGTTTGTATTTCTCCTTGCAATTAAGACATATGGGTAGTTGAATATTGTGCTAAAATATTGAAATTTTAAGCACCTCGTGTATTTATTGTTAAATTATTGATGCTTCTCGTTTTTGAGCAATGTCAAGAAACATCAAATTTTTGCTTCTTCGTTGGGTGCATAATTCAAGCTGTGGGCTTCGATTTTATTCTCGTCCTTTGTGGCTAATTTTGACTTTCTTTGCTATCCAAACAAAAAATGCACATCTTTATGCACGAAAAAAAAAGTGCATTTTAACAACACTTCAAACATATGATGCTCGCAATTATTTAGAATTGAAGAATGACAGTCTCAGTTTGAAGGTTGCGAAATATGAAAAAAAAACAGGACTTTTCATTATAAGTTTTGACAGGATGTAAAAAAGTGACTCTTTCTTAAGTGTGCATCACTTTTTAAAATCTTTTTTATTTATTTTTGAATTTCAGTTAGTGTTTGTTACCTGTTTTTGTTTTGTTTTTTTTTTTTTTTCAGTGCTTGTTACTTTAAAAAAAAAATAAAAAATTCTATCACCTCTTGAGTTTTTGTAACTTTTTTTATTATTTTCTATCAATTTTTCTGTTTGTTTGTTAGTTACTTTTTTGAGTTTCTTTCACTTTTTTTTAGTGAAAACAATAAAAAAGTGATACTCAACTCTTGAAAGTGACGATTAGTATATGGTAGATAGATTGTGTATCACTTTTTAATAAATTATTTTTCTGAATTCTGTCACTTTTTTTATTATTTGTTACTTTTTTTTTTTTTAAATTTGTCACTTTTTGAGTGACAAACGTCAATTTTTAATAAAGGTATGTCACTTTTTTTTAACTTGTACTTCACTTTCTAACAAAAAAGTAACATTTAACTTTACAAAATATTATTTACTTCTAAAATACTTTTCATATGATTTTTCAAAGACATAGAATTTTAGGGGTATTTTTTATGTTGTCCAATTAAAAAGACTGGTCAGTCCAAGCCCGCCAAGGCCAGCCCGAAAACCATGTGTCACACTGGGTCGAGCAAGGCTAGTCCAAGAGATGTAAAAATTGGCTGCTTCTCTCCAAGACGTGTAGACATGGCCGGTGACTCCAAGCCTGCCTCTTAAGGGTCGAAAATTTACTAGAGAAAAAAATCATAAGTTGGGTATTTAGTATGCATTAAAACAATTTTCAGACATTAAGTTTAAAAATACAAAAATAAGGTGTTAATTCTGTTTTAATTTTAAATAATTATATCACCAAATTAAAAAAATCTGCCCCCCACCAAACAATCGTCCTTACCTAGGGGTGGTAGTGGACCGAGCCGAGCTGGCTCGGCTCGTTAACCCACGAGCTCGGCTCGGGCTCGTGGCGAGTCGAGCTCGGGCTTGGCTCGTTGCTCGTGGGCGAGCTAGGCTCGGCCCACGAGCAGCTCGCGAGCTCGTGATTTTTTTTTTTTTTTTCAAATTTTTCAATTTTTTTTGATAAAAATTTAATTTTTTCCACTTTTTTTGACGAGCCGGCTCGTGGGCT